CCGCGAGCTCTGCCTCGGTCCTGGGGCTTGCTGGGTCCCGCTCCCTTCCCAGGAGCTGGCAGGGGGCTTCGGGGGCAGGTGCTTGGAGGTTCTCTGCAGTGGGCAGGATGGCCTGGGTGCTCTGGCAGTGCTTTCCTGCCCCGAGGTCGGTACTGCAGTGTCTCACAGCAGTCTGGTGGCATCCAAAGAGACCCCGGGCATGCCCTGTGTCACTCAGAGCACATGGGGAATAGCAGCCCCGAGGGATGGAAGAGCCTCCTCTGGTCTTGACGGCTTAAGCACCTGCGCAGAGCTGCAGTTCCTGTGCTTCCCTTAGGGGCTCTGACCGAGTGGCTCTTAAGAACAGCTGGTGGGCAGCAAGGCCAAGCATGTCCTTGGGCAGAGGAGGAGGTTTTGGGGCACGCTTTCAGTACTGGCATCAGGAAACCTCTTGTCCTGGTCCTCGTGCTGCTGCTGTGCAGCCGGGGGGTGAGAGCTGGGATCCGATGGAGATGAGCAGAAGCAGCCCCAGGGCAGTGGTAGTTTATGCCCAGTGATGCCGTTACCCTGGAGGCAGCGATACCAGGAGCCAAAGCCCACGAGTGCCATCAGCACTAGGCTACAGTGAGTGGCTCGCTGGTTTCTCTCTGGGCCTGGGGCTTGTGCCAGTGGTCACGGAACGGCCTCAAGGCAGCAGAAGGGGGAAGGCTGCCTGACTGGAGCCCGCAGTGCCACGGTGTGCCCAGGCTGCAGTGATGCCAACTGGAAAGGCTTCCTCTCTCTGTTTTCTTTGCAGGTGATTTTCCAGCTGCCCCGTTGCCATCGCAGTGTGTTTCGGTACCTAATGTCGTTCCTCCGAGAGCTGCTCAGATACTCAGAAGACAACAACGTCAGTGTCGCCATGATCGGTAAGTGTTCCGTGTCTCCGCTCCGGCTGCCCTCACTGGAACACAGCCCCTTCCCGCTGCCTTTCAAGGTCTCCGCTCCTGACCGATAACTGATTTTGCTGCCTCTGCAGCCGCCTTGTTCTCCAGCCTCCTCCTGCGCCCCCCGCCCAACCTGATGGCAAAGCAGACTCAGCAGGACCGCCAGCGTGCCATCAACTTCCTCTACAGCTTCCTGCTTGCCGGGGATGAGGAGTGACTCCTGCCCGAGTGCCAAAGCCGAGGCCCGTGCCGCCAGCCTCGCGCTGAGGCTGGGTCTCCAACAGCTCCAGAGGGGTACAAGGCTCTAAGCTACTCCAAGTGCCGTGTTTACAGTAGGAAGGGACGTGTTCCCCTCTCCTTCCCACCGCTGTACCCTACGCTGCAGAGGACCTGCACGCTCATTGCACTGCCATCCACGACATCCTCCTGCTTTCTTCCTGGGAGCTGGGTGGATCTGTTGATACCCGAGCACTGTGCCAGCGACCCGATCATCCCATGGCAGTGTCACCAGTTCCCCGAGTCACGCTTCTCTCTCCTTTTCACCCCCCATCTCCTGGAGCTGTTGCGGGGAAGAGTGGAGACTGACAGTGCTCTTGGGGGGCCGTGGCACGGCCGGCTGCATCCCTGCAGGCGCGAGCGTGCTGGTGCGTACCGACTGTACTGCTGAGAGCCCGCGCTCGGCCCCAGGTGGCGTTGGGCACATCTCACCCTCTGCCACATGGCAGACCGAGACAACCCTGATGCCCCATCACTGTGCTGTGCAAGCAGGACCATGGCTGTCCCCAGAAGGTTATCTGGACATTTGGCCTCTTCCCTTCAGCAGGGCGTTATCCTCTCCCCTCCCTCCTGGGCTGTAGGGCTCGGGCACACAGCTCTCTCCCTGCGCTCCCAGCCTCCTGCCGCTGCCACCTGCGCCTTGCTCTCCTCTCCCTGCCCCTGTGCCCCAGCTCCCTTCTGGGACATGGGATGGTGGGTGCCTTGGAGGAGCCCAGGGCAGGTAGGGCAGTGAGGTGCACTCAGCTTCTCTAGGGCTGTCCCCGTGTGTGGCACGGAGCAGGACACAGTGGGACTGGGCTGGGTGATGGGGATGGTGGTGAATGCTGTCCTTCCTCCCCCCTCCCCGAGGTGCTTCCAGAGGGTGCAGGCTGCAGGGAGAACGTGACAGGAGGAAATGAGCCAGAAATCCACCTCAGGGCCCAGAATAGCGGCTGAGGGG